TCAGAATAAATATGTCTCCTGTCTAGGTCGAGGCAGAAGTCAGAGCCAATGAAGAGTGAAGCATGATGACAGAGATTGGAAATGAAGGGCCAGGGCAGCAGGTGCAGGACAGGAGGCAGAGCTGGGAGCCAGAGGAGGCAGAGCGCTCACTGAGAGTGCAGGAAGACAAGCCTCGGGCCTCTCACTGCTGGAGAAAAGATCTTACACACCACACGGCTTCAAAGTGCTATCAGAAGAGACTCTAAGGCTTGGAGCATCTCTTTGTCTAAACAAGTCACATCCAAAGTGCCAATGAAGCAATGGGAGTCTATTTGAATATGCAGAACCAGCCACAATGATTTTGTCAGTGTGGAGACTCAAAGGAAAGCTAAAAACCAAACAGAATCGGAGAAAGAAAACTAAGATTTTCTAAGTATCATCTGCGGGAAAGGTGCTGTGGCTGACAGTTCGCTGCTTTCTTTTTTTTTTTTTTTTTTATTCCTGTAACAACACACTGACGGGATTTTTTTCTTTTTTCTTTTTTTCTTTTTTTTTTTTTTTTTTTTTTCCCGCTGTTTGTAAGATAAAGACTGTGGGTCGTAGATCACTTAAACAGAGATTTTCTGATTTCATACAAGCTCTCTGACACACCTTGAGTCAGGTGTTCTGCCCATTTTGATATTAAGGGTCTTATTTTGTTTTGTTTTGGTTTGGTTTTTAGAGAAAGGGTCTTGTTATTTAGTTCAGGTTGACTTTAAACTTGAGATCCTCCTGCTTTAGCCTTTCAAATGCTGCGATTACAAATACACACCACAGGACTGGCTTGATATTAGGTAGGTTACGTGATCATTACTGAATAATGTCAAGGAGGGTGGAGGAGTTTAAATGTTAAAAGGAACTGCATTGTTTTGATAGACTATTTTATTTCACAGCAGATAGATATTTAAAATCAGGCATTCATGTTTCATGTTTAGATGTCTTAGCTTTCAAATTTTACATCATCTAAGTGTTGTTTTTTAAACATTTTATATTTAGTTTATAACCAGAATCCAGTAAACTTAATATATGCTTTGAATTATTACTGAGTGATTCCTAGGTAATATTCTTTTTCTTTTTGTTTAAAATTATTGTCATCTAAGTAATGATTTGAGATGAGCCAGTATAGTCTTAACAAATTACAATATCTATCAAATCTTAAGTAAAATCAAAAATATGTGGGTGAATTAGTTTGAAAATATGTTTATCTAATGTTTTAAGGACATAAATTATATTTTTGTATTATTCTAAGTTTTATATACTTAAAATAGATATTCTCATAACTGATAAAGTAAAATTTAATATTTAGGGTAAAATTTGATACAATAAATATACTTATCCATGTGTAAAATTAGTACCTAAATTATTATACTACATATTATGAACAGGGTACGAATACAGTAGATACAAGTTAGATATTACTCAGATTCCTTTACATCCTAAGTATAATATGCAGATGAAATTTTTCAAAATTACTCACTATTAGTAATAGATAAGGTGATTTTATAAATTATAAAAGAGAGAGAAATAACAGTGTTGTGTTGCCTGGAATGCAAGTCCTTTAAGAATCGGCCATGCCAATGACTAAATATGTACAAGCTTATACTTAAGGTACAAAATTTAATGTTGGGTTTGAATTTGGACAGGAATATTTGGCTAAGAAGGAGGTAATAAAAAAAAATGAGCCTGACTTCATCGCCAGGAGTGATTACCTGCAAGGGACCTTTATAAAGGCCATGATGCATTCTTCTCTGACCAGCTACCCACCATCTGATCCAGCAGTAACAGGCCCCGTGGCCTCTACAAGGGCATGTTTATACTCCAAAAGGGACAAGCTAATGAAACTACATCTCTCCCCTGACCAGAAAAGAATGATACCATGTTAGCAGCATAACTACAAGCTGTCAAGACAAGTTCCCCAGTCCCTTTTAGATTGGTGACCTGTTTCTAATGTAGTAACCTGCCTCTTCTCACTGGGCCCATATTGGACCAGGGAAGTGCCAGTAGAGGCAGTAACATGTTTTCCACTTAGCCGGAGAAGATGCTTAAGTATTTTTCTTGTCTTAAGACTTAATCAGAATAAAATGATATCTTTTGGTTGATGGAGGAGACTGATGCGCTGCCCACCGCTCTAAGAAGGATATGGAATGACTTTTGGTGAGCATCAAGGTAACAAAAATCCCGAAGCAGCCAGTCTGAATGAAAGGGATCCGACCATGAACTGGGAATCAGGCAGTCCCCCTGTTAACTGTGCATCTGTTTCCCACAAAGCCAGGGTTTGTAGGAAGTAAATGTGCTGTTCTTAAGGCATTCCATTCCTAAGCGGGTAATTAGGACCAGCCATGTGGCCCTACATATTTTTTTTAAATTTTATTTTGAAAGTAATAAAAATGCAACACAACACAAGACAGAACAAAGCCAATCAAGACAATGCAGTGAAGCTGGTGCACGATTTCACAGTAGGATACTGGGATAGTAGTAATAGGTACTATGGTACATCTCCTTCACTTCACAATAGTTGTCCAGTCAATTAGGTGTAGCAAAATCAAACCAAAAACAAAACCAATTGAAAGTACTGAATAGAGCAAAAGAAACATAACAAAATAAAACAGGGAAAACAACCTTTGCCTTCAACCAGAAGATAGAAGGAAATCCCCTATATTTGCTATACTGCATACGGTCATCCTCCCAAGAGATGCTGAGACATCTATCCCCAGTAGCAGTAGCTATGGGGGGGGGGGTGGTGCTTGATTTTCAGCCCCCGTGCTGGTAGGCTCACAGGTAATGGTTCTCTTCCTGGCCCACACCGCAGGCACTGACCAGGAGGGCGGGTGAATGAGCTGCCTGAGTCCCACCTTGGCCGGATCTCCCATATTTTTTTTAAATTATCAGCTTGCTGTACATAACAAATAAACAAGCAACTTAGAGTAAACATCTTTCCAAGCACAAAACCATTCTCGCTTGAAGCAAACTTCAATGTACATTTGTGGCCTTCATCAGGTCATGTAGAATATGTTGATTTTTAAGACATTATATTGAACAATTGTTTCCCCAAATTCCCTTTCTTATTACACAGAACTCTTTTGGCCTTCTTCCTTTATATTCTTGCACACAAATACATTTATGTTTGCTGTGTAACTTATGACTGTCAAAATCCATTTTAGTATCATATTACCTAAATTAAATTACATAATGCTAGACACTCTCACAGAATAATTTTGGTATACAATTGTCAAATAACTAACACTTCTGAAAAATTTCCAAATTATTTTAGTTTTCACTATTTACTTTACTGCACAGTTCTTTAATTCATGTTCAAATAGAAGTTAATAATAAATAAATATAGATTTTTTTAAGCAAAAAAATCATAATCACTAATTATACATTTATACAACTACACTAGAAAGTATCATCCGGGTTCCTAAGAGAGAAAAGAATAGAATATTTTTGAAATAGTTGTGTTATATTTTGGTTTGAGCAAGAGTCATAATCATAAATAATATACAGTGTGAATTCACTCAATAAGGCATGTTTAAGTTGGCATAATTTTTATAAATAACTTCTGTGAATATTTTAGTAATGCTGATTTTAGATGTGGAAATTTATATGACAAATCTTTACTATTTAAAATGTGGAAAATTGTTAAAATATCACATTGTATAGAATAATAAAGAGGTTCAAGTATAAAATATTTCAGAGAAATGTATTCATTTTTTAATCAGAGAAACACACACACAAAAAAAACACACAATGCTTCCTAGTCACATTTTTACTGGATAATATTATTTTTAGATTCCTGATTTCAATTTTTTTTATCCAATTCATTTCCAAAATTCCTCCTTCTCTGATTATTTATTTATAAGTAGCAATTTAGTAAAAAAAATTTCCTCAATAGACTATTTTTAAAAGAAAGAAAATAACATGTTTATGAAGGAATCTATAAATTCTGCACAATTTGCATGTACTATTATTACATCATTTTTGTGGTAATCATGTCCTAACTAAATAACATAAAGAGTTATTTATTAGAAGTGCCTTTCTTCACCCAGAATATCTCAATTTTATCCTACATATCAAACTGACACTACTTCTAGTTTCAAAACATATATTTTATATTCATTATTCATGCAGAAGAACAAGCAATGTAAATAACTTGACAATCTTGCTAACTCAGTCATACATGTATTAGTTTAATAATGTCTAATTTTCATTGCCTGGAATCATCACTACAGAGTGTACTCAAAATACATATAAAATTACTACATTTTGGATGCAAAATATATAGATCATTTTCATTTAAGTTAAATAACACTCTTAGTTCCCAGAGGGCACGTGGCAAAATTCACCACAAAAAACTTTATGCCAAAAAATTCTTCCATCAGCTCTTTTATGAACTGTATAAATTGACATGACACTAATTCCATAATGACTGTAGGTTGCTAGCATTATGGCTCTTAAACCTTAATAGAAAACATAACTGCTGATATTAAAACATTTCAAGGAAGAACTACTTATGACATTTAGCTACTGAATAAGAGAAATTAGATGAATGAGACATAATTTCCAAATATAAGTGACTGTGCAAAAAAACCCTGAAGATTAACTGAATTAGATACAGTCTTAGGTATTGCTAAGCTTTCACAAGAGGGAGGGCTGTGATGTTTTTGCAGAGATTTGGTGATACGGTCCACTGTTCATTCGAGACCACCAAAAGCTTTCTTAAACCTGCATCCTATCTCACTTCTCAGTCACTGAACAGTTTACTTCTGTTCAGCTGAGATACAGTATTGTGGAGTCTTTCGCACTGTACTTACAAATTCTGTGAAAAAAGCACAGAAATCATTTCTCACAAGACAAATAAATAGCAGATATTTTAATGCCTTGGGCTGTTCCTCATTTTACTCATTCCACAGTAACTGCACATAATGTGATGGAATATTATGCTGACAGTAACTGTTAATTGCTATTGTTGAAACATTCCTTACCTGTCAAGTTCTTTAATCCAAGTTCCTGCAGTCCAAAGTTGCCATCTTTTCTATAATTTAGAAAGATTGCCAAGGCATATCTATCTTCATAAAGTTTTGTCCCACGAATGATCCGTAAATTCTCCAAAGGCAGGTAGCGAAACTGGTTTAGGGCCACTAATACGTAGCCAGTGACTTCTCGGATGGACTGAAAAGACACAAACAATTGTCCATGTTAAAAAAAATTACATCAATTTGTCAGTATGTGTATGTAGTCATTTAAATTAAATGAATGACTTAACTCTAATCTAACACACTAATCTCCATGACCCATTCTTATTCCACATTATATTCGTATTCATGTTGGAGTATAATACAGGATCACAAAGAGGTGGAATATTTTCTTTTAAGTATGGGTTGCATTCCTTTTAAAAAGCTGAAGATGTGCTAAAAATAAAACAATGGATTTCATTATGTGAGACTGGAGACTAGACTAAGGTTAAAGGAATAAAGTCTCACACACTGATTGAGTACAATTACATAAGGACACATAGCCATCAATCAGCACTAACGTGAAAAAGAACATTGCTAAGCTTATCACAAATAACACACTACTGCATTAGTTTTAGATTTTAGGACAGATTTTAAATGGCCATGGTTCTGTTTAGCGCTGCATTTATCAAGGAACTTTAGTCCTGTATATCTCTGGGGCACATATTTATAAACAACATGTATCAAAAAATTGATTATTGTCTCTAAACTCATCATACTCACAATTTTTTATTTTTGCTAATATCTAAATTTACTTGTTTATAATATCAGTCAATTACCTGAAAGCTTGTGAGAGATTTTAACCAAACAGTCATAAGAAGGTGGTGAGTTTCATCAAAGTTATCACCTCCTAGTAAAATGATCAAGATGATCCTAAAAGTCATGTCAGTGTACGTTAATTTAATGGAAAAGCAAAAATAATGTAATGGTGCTTCAGTATCTAAGAAACACCAGTGTTCACCTTTCCTGCTGGTCTACTCTCATCCCCTAGTAATCTTAGCCTGTTTCAAATTTGATGATCTCCCAAGTTTTTATCTCTACTCACTCCCTTAAATTCTAGACTCAGAATTCTAGACTAAAACTGCTTGTTCAATGTCCGTTTTTTTATTAAGTTTTTTGATACAGTTAGACAGACGTGATCATATTCATCATAGGGAATCTGTACCTGTATATAACATATCTTGATTCCTCTTTTTTTCCTAATCACCTCCCCTCCCTTCAACCCCTCTTACTCTCCTTATTTACAAAGCTTTGTTTCCATTGGGATATGTAATATACTTTTCAGATACACCTATCAAAAATGAGACTTTCATGTTCCATTCCTACAGCAGCCTTATACATCTCAGTTAAGGTTAATCCATCCTTTATGGTTTTCTAGTCAGAAAAATAAATATTCATCTTTGGTTCTCCATCATGCAGCAAAGGTGATCCATTCTATTCAGTCTCCCTGCAAAATGATTGGAAATTCAACCACTTCTGTCATTCATTGCTACCATCCGACCTCCCGCTGCTCCTCACCTAGATTGCCTGTGCCTACTAGGATCTCTGTGCTCAAGCCAGTAGCAATGTGGACAATGCATCTGAAAATGTACCTTGAATTACTGCAGTTGTCTTATGTTTTATGCGTTTTTCCTATCAGTCTGCTCTTAATCTGTATACATAATAATTAACTTACAAGGTCTCATAAATGAATCTGATGCTGATAAAATGAAAAAGGATAAAAAGAAGGAGAAAGAAAGAAACGTGTGCACAGCAACTCCCTACAATGAATGTAATCATGATGCACTGCAAGAACATACTAACAAAAGTCAAAAAATCAAAATATGATCTTCAGTGTATTTCTTGAGCATCTGGCCCTTTTCTGGTCAGGTCCTGCGGCTCCAGGAAGTACTTCAAGTAAAATACCCATCCGAGTGTGCATGCTCATTTCCTACTCCAAGCCTTGTGATTCCTGAATAATCACAGCCTCTCCAGAGCCTGTAAAATCATCTCTCACTCTGTCCCCTCAGAGAACCACACAACCAACATTCATGCCCCTGGGAAGGCCTGGTGGACCAGGCATAGCAGTCTGAAGAGTGAGTACTCAGATGTTAGGTAAGTGACCAGTGTTTCCACTTGCTTACATACAGACCTTTCAAACTTTAGGACAGAATGGGGTGGAACAGAGGGTATATACTGGGGGCCATTTCTCCCTTTGTCATACTGTTACAGGCAATTGATTTGTATAGAAATATCACAGGCAGTAAGACAGGGCTAGGTCCTTGAAGGAGCCAGTGCAGAAGGCCAGATATCTTGCAACCTTGGAGGAGACAGACCACCCCCTGTGGGACAGACCACAAGACAAAAGATCAAACAAAGACACCCACATCCTAAGGATCCTTATTCTAAATAGGTCTCTATCACCCTAGGAAACCAAGAGTCACCATCCCAACCGCTACAGGAAGAGTCATTGCTTTCTAAGCATGCCTGCTTGCTGTGAATCACTTCCCCATCTGTTCCCTAATTTAAACAATTTTACCGGAGCAATTAATCTACTGATTGACCATAGTTCTGTCCCATCTCATGCCCACCTTGTGAGTTCTCATTTTGGACTTGCCTCACTTTGAGGTTTCACTCTATAAAAGTCCCTTAAAAAGACAGTCTTGTGCAACCCTCTCAGGACCCCTTCACTCTGTCTCTCTCTCAGACAGAAGCTTTCTTTCTCTCAATAAATACATTCTGTGGGGCTGGGGATTTAGTTCAGTGGCATAAGCGCCTGCATTGTAAGCAGGCAGTCATGAGTTCGATCCCTGGTACCGATAAAAACGAAAAAGACCAAAAAAAAAAAAAAAAAAAAAAATACATTCTGCTCTTAACCTCTGTTGTTCCTAAAATTCATTCTTCAATTTTAGAGAACACAACTCCTACCAGACATCTAATAGGTTGAGAGTTTTGTTCCCCGATATCAAAACCATATTCCTAAGGAGCCCCAAAACTCTAACACTGGAGCTGACCATCCAGATTACTGTAAAGTTTTGTCAAAGCAGAAAAGATAAAACATTTTATTTAATAATTTCCATTTGGTTTACAATAATTGTTATAAAAATGTTTATGAGAAAAGAAACAACATTAATAATAGTTGTGTACTATTTATACAGAGAGCAGTCTTTGTAGCTTTTAATGATGTGCCCTTTGGCGTGGCTTTCGGGCTCCATATTAACGGAAGAGCTTCAGAGTGTGAAATAGACCTGATTCATCAACAGTACTGAATACAGAAAAACGATCTGTAAATATAGACATAAAATATTTGAGATTCCACCAATGGTCTTGCCTGGGTCTCACAACTGTTAGGGCCATGCATACTGCAATAATGACCCAGAAGAATAGAATCCTAGTGGAGCAATGATGGAGAGAGAGCCAAGAGATGTCTGAAATGACTCATAGTTGGCATCAGTTAGGAAACCTGAGTAATCACGGCATTGTGGGCAAAGTGCCTTGGAGTAAAGACACGAATGCTTACCACGAAGGAAAAACAATGAAAAGTCAGCAGTGGCATGCACTTTGGGACCCTACAGCTTACTTTATGTTTCACTTCTCCATAGGAGCTGAGCTCTACAGCCCTGCAAGCCTTTCTTCAATTTCTGTTCCATTGCCTCACAGTTAGTAACTCGTTGAGTTCTTAGACGGTAGATAAAAACGTAGTCTGGCATCATACAATCTCAAAAGCAAAATGTGTTCACTCATTATAAAATCACTTTCATAAAAATAATTTATTGTTTAGCCTTTTTATTTGAATTATGAAGTTCTCCAGGTGACAATAATAGCTCTAAACTGAAGCTTGTAGACTGAGGCTATAGTAAGTCTTTCCCTAGAATATGCCAAAACACTCACCCTTCTTCTTGTTGTTCCTTAACCCTACTTAGGAAGTGACTCTTCCTATCCAAAACTGTAAAAAGGCACTGGTTCACACCAAGGAGGAGGTGCTCATGGGTGATGCTGGGAGACAGACTACAGAAGAACCTTTCTTCAGGCAGAAGAAAGGTTTATGAGAAACAAGCAGTGTTAAGTAGCAGTTATACAAATCTGTTAGGTGGAGAATTCTTTGTAACTATTAACTGATACAGATGTGCTACTGGTCATGTATTTGAGACCAAACTTTAGCAGAAGCTGCATATAAACCTACAAATATTAAGGACTCTAGCATGTGATAGGTTTGATCCAAGAACAATACTGAACACAGAGAAAGATCAGCTAATATCAAGAAGGAAATTCCAAGCACCCTAGTAAAAAAAAGTATGTACAATAAACTAATAATATCTTTGCATTCATGTGTTAATGTATATATATATATATATATATGTAAAATGAGTACATTTTTCATTCTAGAGCTTAGATTAAATTATTCTTAGAAATACTTTTTGTTACCTTTACAAAGAGTCAGATTAAAAGCAACAGTTACTTTTGTAAATTTGGGGTTGCTATAGTTGAGTTTAGTGTTCCAATAGAGTCTCTTTCATGACCATACTATCCATTCATTCATTCATTTGTGCATTCATTCATTTATTTTGGTACCAGGAATCAAACTCACAGCTTCATATTTGCAGGCAGGTGCTATGTCCTGAGTTACATCCCTGGCCTGATCATACTATTTATTCTTCGTGAAGCAGTAGTATGTGTAACTTAAATATTAACTCAATAAATACATTTTGTTACATGAACTCTGGACATTATTATATTTCAATGCTGGGAACATATATGTGCAGGCATTTTGAACAAAGTCCCTATAAGAAAGTTCATGGTGAGTTATTTGATAATAATGATATTGAAGATCCTATTAACCTTATCCCCGGGATCCCTTTGTCCTACCCAAAGAAATAATGCACATAACAGGAAATAAAAGATGATCACAAATCCTTCAACTCAAGATTTGTTGCTGTAATCTTTTATGTCTAGAGGGGCTCATGGAACCAAATGATTTTTTTAAAGAATTATAGAAGATATATATCTAGTTCTAATATCTAAAAGAAACACAAGATTCCTTAATTTTGAGCTCTCTTTCTTGTTTTACACAACCTATAGTCACATTTTTCATATGCTCTTAAAGCCTTTCTGTGTACAAACATCCTGAAATATTACTAAAGGAAATTTTATGGTAGAGTACGAGCCATAATCGCTACT